CTGGGCAACTCAGTGACTTCATGACACTCTGTGTCAAAGTGAAAAACTGGAATTAAAGAAGGGCTGAAGACGCATCTCAGGACGAAGGCCCCAGGTTCAAGGCCCAGCACAGCCATCGGCCAGTGAGTGAGCCGGTCAGTGAGTAGGCCGCCAGGGCTGAGGTGATGCACAGTGGCGAGCGCAGGCCACAGGTCCACCCATCCACACAGCCACGAGCTGCCTCCCACCATGAGCCACGTCCTGGTTTCTGTCTTTCTTTCCCTGCAGGACTGAGGACAGAACCCAGGAGCAGTGCTCCCTACTGGGTACTCCATGCTGGGAGATACTGCCAGCTCCCAGACAGGGGCTGCGAATCCAGAACAGCAAAGAGGTCTCTTTTCCCTAGATGCAGGTGCCCTTCACTACTTCCTTATTACTTTGGGTTGAGACCTACGTCCACTGTGGGCACCCACAGCCCCAAACTGGCCCCTGGCATAAACAGGGCAAGACTCACACGGGACCTGTGTACCTCCTCCCACAGACCCCACATCCCAAAAGACTGAGGTCACATGAGGTCAGGGCCAAGCATGCTGTCACCCTGCGTTGGCCAGGATTTGCCTCCAGTGTCTCCAACACCAAGCCTGAGAACCCTGCCTCAGACAGCAAGGCAAGGGTCACTGCACGTGGGGCCTCGGGGTACAGGATGCCACATGGTGTGATGGCATCTGGCAGTACGGGGGACCCAGGCAGACCCCAAGCCATGGTGTAGCCCACATGGTGGCTGTTGGGGACTCCATCACTCCATTCCATCCTGCAGCTGGCCCTGCCACTTGCCAGGACCCTCATGGCTTCCATCCAGTCACCCAGGCCTGTGGGCCCAACCCTGCTTCAGACAAGGACATCCCTGGCCGACACCAAGCAGCTCCCAGGCGACATTCCCTCTAGCGAGGATGCCAGGACTTCTAGAAGCATCTCCCACCCCACCACCCAGAGCTGCTCTGGGGTGTTCCTTCCCGGTGACCACGGCAACACTGAGAATGGGGACCCCTTTGGACACCCATTTTTACTTTTCCCCAGGGCCCCCACTCCTGGCCCTACAAGACCCCATAAATTCCCAAGAGATCTGCCCCTCTGGCAGGTCCCTGCCTGCCTGAGTCACCCTGAACCTGTGAGCATAAATCCAGAAAATTCCCCAGCAGGGACCTTCCACAGCTGACGTAGCCATGGGACATCCCTGCCGCGTACCAGCCCAGGATGGACCCCTTCTCTCCAAGCTCCTTACTGTCCCTCACCTGGTGTAACAAGCCAGCTGTCCCCAGAAGCCCACACAGTTAAGGGCCCACCCCAGTGGGAGAAGCCAGCTATGGTCCTCAGGGAACCCCACATCCTGCGACACATCTCCTGCCAAAGGAAACCAGACAGAGACAAGCCAGCACACCTTCACCATGACGCCCACGCACAGGGAGATGAAGGCCTCCTGGAAGGCCAGGACACCTCCCAGGTTCAGTATCTCGAGCTCTGAGCCCAGCCCTGGAACAACGGGGTGCCCATTTTGTGGCACTTTGTTTCGGCAGCACTGGCGACGTGGGGGTCACAAGCCATCCCCTGCGGTCCTTTGTGCACACCCACCACCACTGGGAGGGGCAGAAGTGAGCCATGCACATGAGTCACAGAACAGCTCATTCACAACCTGACGAGACCCGGCTGAACCCGAATCACTGCGGCATTCCTCATGGGGGGGGGGGGCTGGACTCGGAAGTGAGCACCAGAACAGGGGCTGCTTGGGGAGCACGCCCGCCCACATGTGGGCTCTCTCCTGGCCCGGCAGTGGCAGCAGCAGTGACCCAGCAAGATGAGACAGGGGCCTTTGTTCTGCCTCCCGGATGGCGGCAAGGGCAGAAGGGAAGGCCTGTCTTGCTCTCCACAGGGAGGTCGCCCTTGCCGCTGACCAGCAGCAGAGGAGAGGCGGCCTGGCACAGTGGGGTTGGGGGCTGGGGTCCGGAGCAGCACTCAGGAGGGGCCATCAGTCCCCGGCCCTGGGATGTGTATCTCCTAGCTTGAGGAAGAGTAATGCCACAGTCTTGGGGACAGGTGGAGGGGCATTGCAGGGGCACGTGGGAACTGACAGGCAAGGCACACCAGCGATAACCCGGTACAAAAGCCACCTTCATCTGGGCCAACTTGCAAAGTAGTTTTTGAGGTCAAAACCTAGTATCTCTAATTTCAGAAGAAAAGCGACAGTTTGTTCCCAGATGGGGACAGGGCCTTCAGATATCCAGGTCATGGGTGATACAAAGAAGCAAAGGACAACAGCCTGAGGCTCCCTGCTACCCCCGGCACTCCTTCCACCCATCCTGGGGGTCAAAGCCCCTCACCCCAGCCCTAACTGCTCCTTTATTACACCTGCTTGCTGCAAATTAAAAGTGACCTGCCAATTAAGAAGTGACTGCAAGACACAATTTGGGTTCCTGTCTTGCTCTTAGAAGCAGCCTGACACAGACAGACAATGTGGCCCACTGAGGCTGGGGACCCACATCTTAGTACCACCCCACCTAGGGCACTGAATGGCCAGAGCGAGGGACAGTCCAGCTGCTCACAAAATAATGGCACAGTTGAGAAATTCTGCACCAACTTAAGATGACCCATGATCCTTCACATTCTCCAAAACCCTGTCACCTGCTGGGGCCTGTCTCGGGAAACTGGGAACAAGAACTCTCTGGACAGTGGCTAGAGAAATCAAAGCTGCTGCTCCCAGGCCCTCACTGAGGGGGCGTCCGAGGGACCCACTCACACAACCCATCTTCCTCCCACACAGCTGTCCGGCTCAGTGCAGCCACTCTGCTTCCTGAGAAACCTGCTTGACCTCTCCAGCCCCAGCCCAGCTCATCCCTAGCTCTACCCCAGGGACATCCTATGCCACCTCTGATACCCAATCCAAGCACCATTTGCTCCAGGGGGATACCAGGCACCCTTCCTCCAGGGGACAAGGGCCAGTCACATGCTCAGCACCATGAGCTTAGGCCCATCCAGCAAAACTGAAAGGGAAGTGGCCAGTTAGCATGCCCTGCTGAGGAAGAGAAATGAACCCCATGATCATAAGAAAGGGAGATTCCCAAGCACCCACCTGCTACCTGGGAACCAGGCTGAGTGTGAGGACATCCTGCCCAGGGACGCCTGGCTCTGGCCCTAGGGACAGATGCACTGTGCTCATCACCAGTACGAGGGCCGCGGGTGGGTGGTGAGCACTTGCCTGGCCCAGCACTGCAGGGGAAACCCTGCAGAAGAACTGGAGTGGGAATTTAAGAGCCAGGTGTGCGGGACTGGGGAGGCAGGGCGGGTCCTGCAGACGGCAAAGTTAATAAGAGGGGTTGGGCTGGAAAATGCTGATCCTGCAGATCCCATACTCTTGAGGGTGAAGGACCAGTGGAGAGATGTGCCTGCGGCTGTGCCCTGGCACCCCCAGCTCACCTCCTTCAGAGACCCCATAGGGCAGTGTTCTGGTGCAAGGAGGTGGCCTCCATGGGGCCCCAAGATGGGGCGATTCCATCCCTGCCACTGGGGCACTGGGGTATCTGGGCCAAAGCAGGCTCACAGACAACGTCTGCAATAGGCAAGACTGGGCTGTAATTGTGTGCCCCAGGGCAAGCAAGGCTGCAAGCCTTCTGCTTCTCAAAGCAGAACCTTCTGGAAAGTAACTAGGGTGATTATCTAAGGCTTTCTTATACATAGAAACTATCCAGACTCATATCCTAGATAAACTCTACCCCCTTTTTGTTTATTTTTTAATTTTATTTATTTATTTATTTATTTATTTATTTATTTATTTATTTTGCAGAACTGGGGATTGAACTCAGGCCCTTGCACTTGCCAAAGAAGCACTTATTCCACTGAGCCATCTCCCCGGTCCCTCTACCCCCTTTTTAACAGATCACAGATAAGGGTCCCCTCAGTGGGGAAGGGGAGACAGTGATGCCAATCACCCCCCTATACACACAACACCAGCTGCAGCCCCTTGCCATAGCAGACAAAGAGCTGAGCCTGTGACAGTCCTCAGCTGCCCCGGGACACCTGAGGACTCTGCAGACTTCAAGACCACAAAACGCCTAGGGAAGGGAGGGGCTGGGACCCTCCGTGATGTTCTTACCTACGGCCACACTAGCCACAGGGGAAGGGGTGCAGCCCCTTCAAGATCCTTCGCCTTCAGGAAGCCCCAGAAAGAAGGGGGCACATGGTGGCCTGACCCTGCAGAGGCTGAGCTCACAGCCGCCACTACCGGGGGACACACTTCCTGTATGTCGTTTTACCCATTTAAGTCCAAGAATGGAGGCTGCAGCGATAGCAGCACCCCTCTTTCCCTTCGGAAATACACCTCGAGGCCCGCATGTTCCTTCCTCGAGCCCTAAAACCCCAGAATCCACCTACTCCAGTCTTGAGCGCCTAGAGCACCAATGAGTTTCCAAGTCCGGGCAGGCGGCGCCTGGAGGGGCTCCGGGCATCCTCCAGCCCCTGGGGGTGCAGTACGGAAGGTGAATGAAGAGAAACGGAGATCTCCGGGGTCTGCATCCCAACACCCACACCGGGCTAGGCCGCCCTCGCCTCCAAGGTCCCCGTCTTCTTCCCAACCACCCCCGCTTCCCCCTTCCCAGTAGCCGGTTGCCACATCAGTGGGTTCGGAGCCTCTCACTCCCGGGACGCCACGGGCCTGGTCCCGACCCCGTCGCGAGCGGAACCTCCCAGCAGGGCTCCAACTGCGCTCCTCGGGGCCGAGCCCCGCTTCCTGCGACCCCCTAACGCCACCTAAGCCACGTCTTCCTTGGCCGACACAGCCTGCGATCCCCGCCCGCCCCGCCGGCCGGGTCGCGCCTCCCTCCGCCCGCTCCCCCACCACCTCTCCGGCTCCCTCGGGCTCGGCCCGCCCCTCAACCCCCGCCACCGCACCCCCACGAGCCCCTCAGTCCGTCCTTGCCTCCACAACCCGTCCCCTCCGAGATGGAGCGCCCTCGCAGGCTTCCCGGGCTCACCTGGGCCTCGGCCGCCGCGGGCCACGGACCCCGGGCGGGATCCTCTCTCCGACACCCGCCAGCCCTCCCGCTGCCGCTGCCCTGCCGCTGCCCGGCCGCCGCGCTCCGCCCCGCCGCGCCCGCCGCTACCCAGCGCGCGCCCACTTCCGGGTTCCGGAGGGGCGGGGCCTGGGAGCGTGACGCCCCCCGCTGATGGGCGGGGCGCCGCAAAGTTCCGCCCCTTCCTTCCAGACCGCGGCCCCCACCTCCCGCAGCTGATGGACGATACCAAGTATGAGGGAAGGAGGGGTTCTCTGCTCGCGCGACGTCCTCTCCGCACTATGTCGGCGCCGCGTTCACCCCTCCTGTGACTGCGCCAGGAGGTCTGACCTGCGGCGCGGGGGCGGAGCCAGCCTTGCGGCGCTGGGCTTTTGAGTGGAAGGCGGGAAATGGCGGACTCCTCGGGGCGCGGCGCGGGGTGAGTGGAGGCCCCGAGTTGTGGGTTTGCGGAGACCGTCGGGGTGGCCATGGCGAGGGCTGCGGCTCGCCAAGAGAAAATTAAGGAATGGGGATCTTTGGGGCAAGTCCGGGACCTTACCTCTGGGAACTGCACGTTGGGGCTCCGCTCCCTGCGGCCTCTGCGCATGGCCGGAACTCGCGTTCACAGCTCGACCCGGAGTTCGAGTCCTGAGCGCGGGATTCGGCCCGGGATGCGCCGGGGGAGGTGTTAGCGTGCGGCGGTGGCGTTGGCGACCTTGGGAGTGCCAGCGCCCACGCCGCGTGCCCTCTCCTCCCGCTGCACGTTTCGTGCCCCCCACTTAGAGTGGACTCCCGAGGCGCGCGGAGAATACCGCGTCAGGAAGGAGAGCGAAGTGGGGCGCTTACTGGGCGCTCAGGCTTGAGCGAGTGCCGTCAACCTCTCGGGTCCCGGCCACACCTAGTGTCGTTCCCCAACAGCTAGGGGCCCACTTAAGGTAGAAGGCAAAGGCTTCGGAAATCACCAGCCTCTGATGCCTCAGATGGCCAGCTCTCGCGACCGGGAGCGTAGGGAGGACACGGGCGCGCGGCAGCCGGACGGACGGACGGACCGACCGACCATCGCGGCCCGACCTGCGGCCGGCGTCCGCAGCTGCCCTTCCCGCCTGTGAGCCGCTTTGCCGACGGGTGCTGGCTTTTCTGCGCTTTCTGAGACGTGGGTGGTGGTTTGTACACCAGGTTCGGGAACTTGGGGAAACGGTTGATCTCTGGTTTGTAAAGATCCAGAATGCAAAGCCAGCCTGGACTACAGACAAGACTTTGTCTTGAAAGATTGTTGGCATTAGACCGTATGAATAAACATCGACGGGTGGCAAAAATAAAAGATATTTTTCTAAAAGTGCAGTGAGTTGGTCTTACACAAAGCATTGCTTTTAGGTAAGCTAGGAAATCTTCAGGAGATAAGCAAGTAGGACTTTTGTTCATCTTAAAGCTTACAGTTTAAGCTTAGTGTGACGGAATTTGTCCTCAGGCGGAAGTGTTTGTTTCTACTCAAAGCAGACAGCTGGTCTGTGGACTTGGGAGAACCAAGCACAGGCACCTTGTCTTGCTTCTAGGAAGCTGGGGTGCTTGCATTTGCACGCAGCAGATACCTTTACATTTTTACTCAGTTTGTCTTTGTTTTTTTTTATTTATTTTGTGTGTGGCCAGTTCAGCCCACCAGAGGGGGGGGGGGGCTGGCATGTGGTGCTGGGGGATTGAACCGAGGTCCCTGTGCTTTGCTTGGCTTAGCTTGTTCTAAGTAGGTGCTTTAGACCACTGAGCCATCTCACCAGCCCTGTCTTTGGTTTTTTTGAAGACAGGGTCTTGCTATGTAGCCCAAGCTGGCCCTGAACTTCAGGCAATCCTCCTGCCTCAGCCTCTGGATACTGGCCTGGAGGGTTTTAGTATCTGTCCGAGCTGAGCAGGTAGGTGCCTGAGGCCTGTCTCTGCCTTGGCCTCCCTCAGGCCTCTGGCTTCCCTCGGAGCCCTGCCTCCTGCCTGCAGCCTGGCTAGCTGAAACCCTGGCATCATCCCGGAAGGCTGAAGCCGGTTAGTCAGCCAGGCCTGTCTCTGGGCCCTTTCCTGTTACATCAGGCTCCAAGTGGTCTATTTTTAAATTCTTAAAACCTGAGCATGATGGACCGCTCTCTTTTTTAGCAGTCGTCATCCAGCTTATGAAGGCCCAGCCCGCATTCTGGTCCCTGAGTCTTAGCCCTGTGGCATGGCAGGGCCTGGAGCCTTCACCGCGGCCTGGCAGCCAGGCCACTTCCTGCCTCTTCAGGTTTCCTTTGGGTTCTGTACCTGCACTACTTTCTGGGTGTTCTTTTGCCTCAGGTATCTTCTTTTTGCTTTATTTTCTTGAGACAGGTTGACTTTGATTTAGCTGTGATCGTCCTGCCTCAGCTTCCTGAGCACTGGGATTATAGGCGTGCACCATCACAGCCAGCTTGTCCCTCTCTGTTCTCCCAGCCATGTGAGGGTGTAGCCAGGTCCCTGCAGGGCCGCTTGCTGGACAATGTGGGGTGCAGAGTTGCATTCGAGGTCCCCTCCCCATGCTAGTAGCCCCCCTGTGTGACCTCTGGAGTCTCAGATCCTAGAGGAGGTGCTGTCTGTCACCCCATCCCTGCCCCCTCAAAGGACACCTGTGTCACCAGGCTGGCCCTTGGCCCAGCCACCCAGACAGTGGCAGCAAAGCTTCTGGCTACCCCGCCCCTTAATTGCAGGGCCGGCTGTGGGAGGGCAGCCTGGGAAGGTCCTGACCTGCTGGGAGCCCTGCAGCACCTTCCTGCCATTTGCATGGGTCCTAAAAAGTGCTGCTATGCGGCTGACAAGCCACAGCACACCCTGAACCTCTTGCATCCGCTCTGCGCAAGTCTGCATCTCCGTGGAGCTGTCTGCAGGGCCATGGCATAGGGCTGCTGCTCTTCCTGGGGAGGTGGCCTGGCCTCCTGAGGCTATCCCTGGGACAAGCTGTTGCATCAATGCTGCTGTCTCTCAGTTGTGCATCAGATGAACAGGCTCTCTCTGCCCTCTTCCAGGAAGTCCTCTGCAGCTGGGCCCAGCACCCCCAGTGGCTCCAGGGTCAGAGGAAAAAGAGCACAAGGTGAGTGCATCGGCTCCCCACAAAAAACTGTCTTGTCAGGTAGATGGGGCGCAAGCCTGTCCTCTGTGGGCGGCTGAAGCAGGAGGATCGAAAGAGGGAGCCCAGTCTGGGCTACTTAGTACCGTGGACCCTGTCTCAAAACTAAAAAGGGCCGGGGGGTGTAGTTTAGTAAGAAGGCCCTGGGTTCAGCATCCAGTATCACCAAAAGTTTGGGGTTTTTTCATCACGTGTGTTGTGTTGGTTTGGTTGTGTTTTCGAGCCAGGTGGGAGAATGGTGGAGTCACGCTACCTGCAGTATGAGAGGAAGGCAGCCAGAAAGGTGAGAGGCTGGGTTGTGCGGCTCCATCCGGGATAGCGAAGCTCCCGGGCAGCAGTGTGGGCCCTGCCCGGCCTTGAGATCCAGCCCTCTGTGCAGAACTGGGGTGGCTTCAAGGATGTCCTTCCAGCTGTCCAGGTTGATCCTGCAGGAGACCGACAGTGCTCTCAAAAGCACTGACAAACACTGGCTCAGGCAACTCCTGTGTCCTGGAACTGCCCTCGCCAACAGGACAGGATGTGCTCGTCTCATGTGAACGATGACAAGAGGCCTTTGGATCTGACCTGCCATGAGGAATGGGCAGCTGGAGTAGACGGATACCTTTAGGAAGGTCTGCTCCCTGAGTGTCGTATGTCTGTGACAGGCCCCTACTATGGACACCAGAGCCAGCGGGAAAGTGACAGACGTTGTAAGGAGACCAGGTCAGCTGCCCAAGGCCACAGGTGCGCGAGGGCCCCAGCTGCATCCGAGCCCTTGCTTCTCCTGGAGGTCCAGGCACAGGGCCCTGGTGACCCACTGTCTCTGGGCCAGCATGCTCGCGGGCCTTGCTTCATAGTCAGATGCCCCAGGCAGAGTGCATGGAGCCTGGGGTCCCACACAAACTCGGGCTCTTGTCTGGTGCAGATACCAGTGGCGCGGGCCAGGGTGACCTGCAGTCCACCTTGCTGGAGGGGCATGGCACTGCGCCACCAGACCTGGACCTCTCAGCCATTGGTGGTAAGGCCCTGTCTTAGGCTGGCCCGGGTGCGGTTGCTGGCCTCGTGCTAGTGCTCACGGGTGAGCCTATGGTAGAAGCCCTGTGTGGCACTGGGCGGGGCCTGCCCCTGGCTGACCGGGCTGTACCCGCCTGGCTGGGTGGTGGCAGCAGCGAAGGCCACTCCCAGCCAGCTGTGGGCACGTGAGAAACCACCGTGCTCCTCGGCGCTAGGCGGCAGCAGGTGTTGCATCTCCCACTGCAGTCGGCTGGGGGTGGCTGCAGGGTGGCGTATGTGCACCTCCTTGCTGTGTTGTAGACCGAAGCACGGTTGGGAAGATACCACAGCTGGAGAAGACACTGGCACGGAGACCCAAGGCAACGTCCTTCATAGCCCCACAGAGGAAGGGCCCGGTAAGCCCGGCAGGAGGACGCTGGGCCTCACTGCCTGCTCCCTGGGAGACCTGGTCCCTGCGTCATGGCGCACAGGGGTGGACACCAGGTGGGGCACCTCTGGCTTCGTGAAGCATGGTGCAGTGTGGTAGGTTAGGATCCCCCCCTTGAGAGAGCTGGAGCCAGGCGTAAGGGCACATGCCTGTCCTCCCTGCACTCTGGGAGGCTGAGGCAGGAGAATCAAAAATTTGAAATCAGCCCCAGGTAGTTAGTGGCTTGGCAAGACTCCAGTTCAAAATAAAAATTTATAGGACTAAGGAGATAGCTTGGTGGTCTAAGCACCTGCCTGGCAAAGCGCAAGGACCTGGGTACAATCCCTAGTACCGTATACTGTGTTGGCCACCGAAGTGCATGGTGGCCCATGCCTGTAATCCTATCATGGGGAGGCTGCATAGCAAAGACCTTGTACCAAATAAGCCAATAAAATATTTTTTTAGGGGCCAGGGAGATGGTTCATTAGAATAAGCACTTGCCTGGCACGTGCAAGGGACTGAGTTCAATCCCCGAATCTGCCCCCAAAAAAAAAGTTTTTTAAAAAATTTTGTAGAAGGGAATGGAATGGGGTTATAGCTCAGCAGTCCTCCTGCTTCAGCCCTCCGAGTGCTGCTTTCCTTACAGGATCTCCCGGAAGTGATGGAGATGATGGCATCCCAGACGCTACTGCTGACCCTGCTGACGGTGAAGGTGAGGCAGTGCTAGCCCCAGGCATGGAGGAAAGGCACCTTGTGTGCATGGCCTGAGCTCACCTTGTCTGCAGATGCAGAACGGGCTGGCAGGGCTGGAGGAGAAGGCGGAGCGGAGCCTGCTGGCCATGGGCCGCGAGCAGGCCCAGCTGCAGCGGAAGGTGCACGAACTAAGGCGCAAGCTGCTGCTGCAGCAGAAGCACCAGGAGCTGGTGGGCACGCTTGATGCCCAGGTCGGTGTGGCTCGGGTGGGGTGGCCTCGGTCCTGGGTGTGCAGTGCCAAGGACACGTGCCCAGAGCTGGGTCCCTGCTGGTGCACAGGCTTTATCTGAGAAGAGGTCTCTCAGGTGCTAACGCTGGGCTTGAGCTTACGGTCCTCCTGCCTCCGCCTCCAGAAGGCTGGCTGGAGGTGTGGCCACCATCCCCACTTTGGCTTCCTCTTAGTGTGGGGAGCCCGGCTGCAACCGCCTCACTGCGAGTCAGCACATTGCAAGACACCGACAGGGTGTTAGCATGACCTGGGGGTGTAGTCACATCTGAAGTGCCTAGCATCTGCACGTGGACACCTGGCGGCCAGGCCCCCATCTCTGTCCCCATAGACCTGAGCAGAGGCCATGCTGAAAATGGCCTCATGGCTATGTTCACGCATAGACTGTGGGACAGTCTGCCTGGCATTGCCACCCAGCAGGCACCATGCACGCCTGGGCAGGCCATGCCACTGCCATCGGAAGCTCTGGGTATAGGGACAGAGGGTGCCACAGCTCCCTGGGGCAAGGCCAGCCTGCCAGCCCCCGGCCCCCTAAGCCTGCACAGGGCCTGGGTTCACCAGGTCCTTCCTGCAGATGGAGGTGCTGCACCCCTTCAAGGCAGTGGCCAGGCGCTTCCAGGAGCACTACAGGGCGCTGGCCACAGCCCTGGATACCACCCGGCATGAGCTGCCTGTGTACGCCATCCACCTGGAACACGGCGGGCGGCAGCTGCTGGGTAGGGCCAAGGGCTATTGTGTGTGTGTGCTGGAGCCCCAGCGGGTGGGGCCGCAGGGAGGGGCCCTGAGTGGGTGCCTTGGGCCTGTAGGCCGCTAAGCCCCTGAGCCTGATGCCTTGTCCTCCCTAGACACCCTGCAGGCCGAGCTGACCACCACCCACCGCCTGCTGGCCGAGCTGGGCCTCGGCGGCTCTGAAGAACAGGGACAGGTGCTGGCCCTGCTGGCTGAGCTCAGGGATGCGACCTCACAGAAGGACCTCGAGCTCCGGAGGTGACTGACACTTTGCAGGGTGGGGTGTCTTGTGCTCCCGGGCAGAGGGTGGTGGCTGGCAGGTGTCATCGTGCACAAGGTCACCATAAGAGCTGGGAGCCCTGAGCACCTCCAGTTCACTGCCCTTTCCTAGCTGTACAGTGTCTGCATGTGTGCGTGTGCTGGGGTCCAACTCAAGGTCTTCTTGCAAAGTAACTTCAGCTTCCCAAGCTGGGCCCTACCTGATCCTCCTCCCTCGCCTCCCTGTCCCTGCAGGAGCTTTGCACAGGTGCTGCAGCTGTCGGCCGAGGCCAGCAAGGAAGCGGCCCTCACCAGCCAGGAGGCCTGGGAAGACGCACAGGGTGCTGAGGCTGCCTGCCACTGGTACTTTAGCCCCGACAGAGGCCCTGTGGGGACCCTCGGGGCCAGCTAAGGACAGACCCCTTCAGGGACGCCACTGCTTGTCTCTAGCCCACAAGGCCCTGGCTCCACAGGGGCTGAGTGGAGACTTTCCTGTGGCATGGAGGATACCAAAAAGGACTTCACCACAGCTTGGCTGTGTCTGTCTCTTATTGAAAACAGAAACAGGGCCGGCCAAATAGTTCAGCAGATTAAAGCTCCTGCAAGCAGGTACAGGGGCTGGGGGTTCAATCCCCAGGCCTGCCATGCCGGCCCCACTCCCGGGCACACTGAGACAGCAATTGAGACTGGGCGTGGTAGTGCACCTGTAATCCCAGCTCTTGGGAGGCTATAAACAGGTGGACCGCTATGAGTCTGATCCAGTAGTGAGACCCTGAACACCTTGTAGACCCTCCCCTAAAAATAAAAGATAAAACAGAAACTTGTGGGTCAGAGTGTGTTCTCCCTGGGTGGGACCACAGAGAGGCGTACGTGGCACCTGGGAGATGGGGGGCACCTGGTCCTGGGGACAAATGTGTGGTGTTACCACAGCAGAGCCAGTGCCCACCCTCTGTGTCCCAGAAAGCCTGCTCCTGGGCCAGTGCCACCCTGCCTGTGCCATCTGCCCTGGGTTGGCACCTCAAGCAGATGCCCTCTGCTGGCCTCGCCGGGAGCCCCAACCTGGGACCAGGTCAGGGTTCTGTTGTGGTGGAGGTGCCAGCACTTTGTGTTCTATGATGGGGTCTCCCCAAGTCCTCAGGCCGCTTCCGATGACTAGCTCTACAGGTGCCCGCAGGTTGGTGACTGGCTGTGGTCCAGGTCCCAGCTCAATCCGCACACGGCAGGCATCCTGTGAAGGTCTGCATTCTGGGACCTTGGCCAGACCTGAGGTGCTTCTGTACCCACAGGCCATCGTTTTGGCCCAGGTTTGTTTGTGGCACACAACCTGAAACTAGTTTGTAAAGTTCATCTTGGCCCACGCCGGTAGAGGCCCAGAAATGTAGGTGCTCAGCACAGCTGCAGGGAAGGAAAGGGCGTCTCGCCGCCCTGCCCTGCCCTGCGTGGCTTGCTCTCAAGGGATTGTTTCTGAGGCCATCTAGGTAGGCAGCCTCCTGAGGCTGCAGTCCTCGCACCACACCTGGTTAAAGCTGCGACCTGGTGAGCACAAGTTGACCCAGAGCCGGGGTTACTCGGAGCCCCCAGGCCCAGCCCTGTCCTTGGGCAGCACAGCCTAGGTGCAGTCGCAGTGGGGGTCACGGCCGGGCCTTGGTTCCACATTCTGCCACGCAGGGGCAGGCAGTGCTGAGGACCACAGGTTCCATGGGCCCAGTGAAGGGTCCAGCTGGGATGGGGCAGAACTTAGCGAGAGCTGCCAGCTTCTGCCTGGCAGGAAGAGGCAGGCACTGTGCCACAACCTGGCATCCATCCCCATGGGGCCTGGTGACAAACCTGGTAAGGCCACATGGTGCAGGGCTGCAGGGTTGTGAAGGGTCAGAGACTTGAGTCCACGGGGACTGGAAGCGTCTTGGTGCCACCGCCTCATGGGTGGGGTGGGACACAGAGACACTGGTGGGCCTTTGTGCTACACATGCCTGAGGGGGCAAAGCTGAGACCTTGGCAGGGGAGGACCCACGTCTGGGGCAGTGCTTACAGCTGTATACCCCTTGGGTATCAGCGTAGGAGTGTGGTCACTGCAGCCCGAACCCTGGGGAGTCTGCAGAAGTGCGGGGGCCAGCCTGGGCAGTTTAGCCAGACTTGCCACAACATGAAGGGGGCTGGTGCCACTCGGCGGGCAGCAGGGTCAGGAAGGACTCTGGGCGCCTGGGAGGGGTTTGAGCAGACCCTATCAAGGAGCTAACCGTGTCCCTCCCAACTGTCCCTGCCCACCCATGGGAGGATGCCTGGGCTCTAAGGCCTCTGTATCCACTATCCCCAACACTCCTCCCTCAGCCTCTGTGTTCCCCAGGAACCCCTTCCCCATGTGCTCTGCAGCACATTCCTGCTCCCTCCTGTGACTCCCTCCCGCCTTGGTACCATTGCTGCCCTGTATGTGGGGAGTAGGACTCAGTGTCTCACAGTAACACATCTTTAATTTAGGCGTAGTAACTACAGTGAGCTCAGCCCAGGGGTCCCCAGTCCCTCTCTGCATGGAGCAGACAGGACATTCAGTAGGAGCAGTTGGGGGCAGTGACCCACCATCACTTATGAGGGCAGGGTCCAGGTTCCTTCAGGATGTGGGCAACAGGATGGGCTGGTGCCTTGGGGTCCAGGAGGAGCAGGATTGCCAGTTGGGCAGATGTTCCCAGGAAAAAGCTTCATTCCCTAGACGAAGTCACATTGGGCTGAGATGTCAGCTCTGGCTGTGTGGTCTGGACCTTGCCATTGCACCCTCAGGCACAAGCTGCCATGAGGACCACAGCTCAGAGCCTCAGGATATGCTACACCCAGTTCCAGAGAGACTCGGCACCTTGCCAGAATCCTTGTGGCAGGGGCTATGGCTTCCTCAGTCTAGCCCCCATGGTGACAGCCACTGAATCCCATCTCTCAGAAGACACAGGGTCCAGGGTCCAGCTGACTCTGAGGACAGTAGTGTCCCACGGGTAGATGTGACTGGGGGACTCACCCTGTCCTCCCACCACCCTGGGGAGCTTTCAGAGCTGGGAGGAGCCAGTGCCTGGGCCACCCACTTCCTGGGACCCCTGGGAAGTGGTGCCTGCAGTCAGCCAGCGACACAGCTGCCCCTGCACCTTGTCCCTGAACTCAGGGGATGCGTAGTAGTATAGGAAGGGGTCCACGCAACTGTTGAGGGTGCTGAGCGCCAGGCTGGGTATATAGGTGCCATACAAGTCTCCCCACCTGCCTGGGCTGGGGTCCGAGTAGTGTAGCAGCAGCAGCGTATTGCTAGGCACGAAGAAGGCTACGGCTGAGGCCAGCACAAGGGCTGTGAGCCGCAACGCGTGGCTGTGCCGCCAGCCACTGGCCGCCAGTGCATACAGTGTGGCCCCATGGCACAGCACCATGAGCAGCAAGGGCAGAAAGCAGCCGAGCACAGCCAAGCACACGAACGCCGGCTGCCAGAAGGATGCCTGGGTGGCCAGCGGCAGAGCGTCATGGCACAGTAGGTGGTCGGAGCCTGCCAGGCGGAAGGTCTGCCGCTGCAGGGCCAGGGGTGTGGCCAGCGCAGTGGCCACCAGCCAGGCACCCACACAGAGCCCAGTGGCCAGGCGGTGTCCACGGAGGGCCCGGGCACGCAGTGGGTGCACCAGGGCCAGGTAGCGGTCCAAGCTGATGGCGGCTAACAGCAGCACTGCGCCGTACATGTGGCCGTAGAGGGCGGCTGTTGACAAGCGGCAGGCCACTTCTCCGAAAGGCCAGTGCTGGCCACGCAGGTGGTAGGCCAGGCGTGGTGGCAGCGCCAGGCCCAGCAGCAGGTCAGCGGCCGCCAGGTTCATGAGCAGTGTGGTGGCTGGCAGCCGGGGGCCGCGCACCACCAGCACCCAGAGCGCCAGCGCATTGGCCGGCAGCCCGACTGCCAGTGCCAGCACATATAGTGCAGGCACCAGCTGCGTGGGCACCCAGCCCAGTAGCAGCGCCTGTGAGCTGTCCGTGAGCACCAGCGCGTCACTGTCGTTGGCATAGGCCTGGCCAGGGAAGCTTCGTGGGGCTGCCTGCTGTGGGGTCCTTGCCGCCTCCAGCCTGGCCCAGGGCGCCAGTGTGCTGGCTGCTGGGAGAGGGGTGCAGGTCAGGACTGGGGAGCCCTCTGCCTGCCCCATCCTAGGGACTAGTCTGAGACAGTACCCTGCTCAGCCTGTGGTCCCTGGCGGGTATGATGGAGCCAGACAGTGCCCCGGAAGGACAGGCCTGTGCCTCCCCAGGTGGGGTCCCCTCACCCACAGGCGTTGGCCACTCACCATAGTCCTCATCGTAGATGCTGGGGGTTGGGTTGCTGCCCACCAGGCTGAGCCCCAGCCCCAGAAGCCACAGCAAGGCCCTCCACATGCTGTCGTGTGCTCCACTGTGGCCCAGGGCTTCCTGCCTCGTCACCCTGGCCCGGGTTCCGGAACCCGTGGAGATAACTGGGGTGCTGGGGCCAGGCCCCCAAGGCCACAGGGAGGTTGCTGGCCAGCAAGCCTGCAGGGACAGCAGCCAGGTCCCTCTGTCCTGCTGATGCCCCGCAGGCACAATAGGGCAGAACATATCCTTGAGCCCCTCTGTCCCCCCCGGGTGACCACAGGGACTTTCCAGGCTAGTGGCCAGGCCAGGCCAATGGTGTCAGAACCTAAGGGCGGAGTTCCCAAGTGGCTGTTTCCTGCTCCAGATCCACTGCAGCCACACACAGGAGACGCCAGGAAGTGACTGCGCTGCCCCTGGCCCTCAAGGGCTCTGGCCAGGGCACCCCCCCAGGGCGGGAGTGATGCTGCGGTCACTAAAGGCCAGCCATACCAGTGGAGCACTTTGGTCCTTATGGTGGCTGTGCCAAGATACGAAGTTTCCAGGTCAGAACTGGGTCAGAAAGATGCACAGGAAGCTGTCTGGCCCAGCTCACTTGGGCAGCACCGTGACACTGGGGACAGATGCCCAAATAAGGATGGGGGTCACCCAAGGGATCATGGTGTTACCCCATGGGGCGGACACAGCTGGTTCCGGGAGGGGCCAGGCTGCTGTCCCCAGGCCAGCTTCACGGTTTCCTCCCACAGCAACTAGTTTACTTCTTAAAAGGGAAGCTGGGAAAAGGCCAGGGTTATAGCTCAGCGGCACACCTGGCAAGCTCGAGGTCCTGAGTTTGATTCCTGGTGCCAACAAAAAGGGGAGGCAGTGATGCATTTCATGGTGGTGAACCAGAGGCGTATTGATGTGGGCCACAGCCACAGTGGCCTAGGAACAAGAGGGTCACACCCTGGCCACGGCCTCTGCATCCCACTCCAGGCACCTGGGTGCAGGCAGGGCTGGGCAGTGTTGTGCAGACGTGGCCTGTGCCGGCGCCTCCCGCTGCCCCTGAAAACCCCACCACCACCTTGCACCCTGGAGCAGTTACGATGGTCACCATCATGAGCACCTCATGACTCAACCCAGGGCCTCCACCATCGCCCCATCCCCAGCCCTTTTTGGTTTTTTTTTTTTGCGGAACCGGGGATTGAACTCAAGCCCTTACGTTTGCCAGGCAAGTGCTTATTCTACTGAGCCATCTCTCCAGCCCCCTGCCCTTTTCGTTTTGAGACAGGGTCTGGCTAAGTTGAATTTGGGATCCTCTTGCCTTAGCCTTCCCAGTGCTATAATGACAGGCACATCCCCATATCTGCATTTCATTGAGACTTTTGTGCAAACTAGGTGACAGGGCTGAACTACCATGGTTTCTGAACCTACAGGGGCCCCAGCCTTCTGAGATTGCATCAGAGCCCGCCCTGTCCCATCCCACCTAAGCATGTACCGCTGTCACTAGCACTGCCCCTCCAAGAAGGCCAGCTGCGAGCAGCTCTGGAAAATCTGCCTCCACGTCTCTGTGAGAGTCTTGCCATGCTATTAGGCTGGCGTAGAACTATGTAGCTCAGGCTGGCCTCAAAATTATAGTAATCCTCCTGCCTCAGCCTCCTAAGTGCTAGGACTGCAAAGGTATGTGAGCATCCCTAGCTGAAGATTTTATTCATGGGGTGCTGGGGTAAACCAGGGCTCACAGCAGGATGGCCAGAGCCAGCCTCCAGGACTGTGTCCATGCTGCTGCAACCCCCGTTGCTCCAGGCGCCACCTACTGGGCCAGGCACAGCGGAAAAAGTCACTCTGCAGCCTCACACTGCCTCCCTGGGGCAGGAGATGCCAAAGGAGGAGTCCCCAGGGCAGGGCCCAGCCTGTCCTGCTGGGAGAGGCCGGGCTGGGACAGGGGTTGGGACTATTGCTGGGGAGGCAAATGGCCACTGGGCAGGCAGGGACTGCACCTTAAAGAGGGTGTGGGGTAGCTGTGCCGCCTGCCACCACGCCCACAGACTGCATCCCCAAGCACAGCCCCTCCTGTGATCACATGGTTGGGAGGCACTTTCCAGGAGGCAGCCGGGCAGACTGGGAAGGAGCACTCCAGAAGGCAGGAGAGGAGGAAGGCACACCGGGGAGGCCCAGGGCAGGCTGCTGGCTGTGGGCGTGGGCACTCACGCCAAGGAGTAGCAGCCTAGGAGTCGTTGCGCTGAGAAGTGTCCTTGCCCTTCTCCCAGGAAAGGACTCCTGAAGCCTCTGCTCTGCATTAATATTTTAATTTTTAACCTTAATGTGCAAATAAATAGAAAAGGAAAACTACATTCAAAACAGCTGTGAAGGGACATCAAGGCCAGAACAGAAATTCTCAAAATGAACAGGCGCCCGAGAAGCATGCGGGGCTTGGCGTCACCCATGTCCCCGCCCACCAGCTTCCCAGGACAGGAGGGGTGTCCAGTGACGTGGGCAGCTGCGGGTGCCATTTGGCACAGCTCTGCCAGGAGGGGGCTGAGCACAGGCCCGTCGCCGCAGCCATCGCCCGGCTCTCAGTGGCAGTGAAGGCCTCCCTCGCGTGCCTGAGCGACCTGCGGCCCGGTAGAGGCGGGGAGGCCAGGGCCTGGCTTCTGCTCTGGCAGAGCCCACCACGTGTGACAGGAGTAAACGTGTGCCTCTGCACAAGGCCCCATTCTGACCAATCGCATGGCACGGCGAGGCCCTCGGATTCCAGCCAAAGACTCAGCCCCAGGACACTTGGGAGCCCGAGGCTCAGGGGGAGGCGGGACGGCGGCTGTACTGCACACGGTAGCGGGTCACAGGCAGCCCGTGCACAGTGGCAGCTTCGCACAGCGTCTTGCAGGGCACCATGTCCTCGTCCTCCTCGCCCATCAGCCAGTCCTGTACCAGCCCAGCCGCCTCGCCTGTCACATTGTCCTCCAGCCAGCGACTGTGCCACTCCCCAAAGTGCCGGTGGTGGCGCAACAGCACCAGGGGCTGCACCTATGGAGGAAGTCAGGCAGGTAGCTGTGGGTCCCCAGGGTGTGGGTATGACAAGGGTCCCCCGGCCCGGCCACTCCAGCCCTGCGCACCTGCCTGGCCCGGCCGAGGGTGCCGCGGCGGTACATGTAATCCTCGGAGTTAACCACGAACACCATCCTGTGGGAGCTGAGCTTGAAGCGGCAGTCCACGTCACACGCGCTCTCCACGCCCACCAGCCGCCGCCAGGGGCTCTTGGCCTCGCCACGCAGGGCGCGTACCTGCTCACACTGCCAGCGCCGGAACTTGCGCAGATTCCTGGGCCGGGCGCAGAGGAAGGAAACACTCCGGCAGGGCCACCAGGAGCGGCCTAGCCTCGCAGGGCAGCGGGACCCTCAGGCCCCTCCCACCTCACCTCTGTAGGAACACGGGCTTCAGCAGAAACCCCTCGGTAGGTGAGCCAGAGGCACCCTCGGTCCCCACGTACTGCTCCACGTAGCGGGCCAGGTGCTGGGGGGGCAGGGAGGGCACAGCAGAGTTGTTACCTGGGTGCTGGGGTACACCCTGCCCAGAGCATGGGAAGCCCCATGCTGTGCTGCAGGCAACAGACACACACCCGACCAAGGACCGCCCACCATCCTTTTGGGTCTGAGGGACTTTACAAGAGGCCCTGCTTAGACAGAGGCCAGATGCAGGGGTATAGTTGTGTGCAACCACTGGGAGGCTGAGGCACGAAGATCCCAAGTTCTAGCCTCACCAGTCAACTTGGCGACTTATGGCAAATGCATCCCACACCTGGGTGGCTTAGATTTGGGCACCATGTGCTGCTGCAGTCACCGTCCCCCATTAATGGGGCTGGAACCCACAAGTTACCCAAGTTGGCTGGAACTTGGGATCCTCCTGCCTCAGCCTCCCAGAGTGCTGGGAGCATGGGTGTAGCCATCATAGCTGGCTGCTCCCACTAAGTCACAGTCGTGGGCTCTAAGGGAGCTTAAGCATAGGTGGAGACTGTGCTGCTCTCGTAGACCGGGGCCCCCAGCACAGAGGACACCAGGCTAGACAGGCACTATTCTGGCTTGGGTGCCTGATGTGCGAGAGCCTCTAGGGAGGTCACAGAGCCAGGACGAGATCACCACTGACGACAGGCCTCCACCAGCGACCGGCGTGGGTGGATGGCAGGCACCAGAGTGGTATGAGGTCACACCCTGGCAGACCAGCACCAGGAGGGCCACCCTGAGTAACATGCACACATGAACACGACATGCACACGTGGTACTGAGGGTGGGGAGGAAGTGGAAGCTCAGGAGACAGGACGCAGGGCAGCACTGGCACAGAGCCCTGGGCACTGCTGGGAGGACCCCAGCACACTGCAGGATTATGTCTCAGTGCCAGGTGTGCTAAGGGGTGAGGATGGGGCAGAGCGGTCACAGACGGGCACACCTGCACCTCCACAGGGTCCTCAGTCTGGGCCTCCTCGGTGTCAAGCAGCTCGATGGTCATGATCACCTGGCCCTTGCGCTGCAGGAACATCACCTGGGCAGGGTGGGGACAGGCTGAGCCAGCGTCACCAGGGCCCCGGCCCCCAGGCACAGAGCAGCCGCAGCGCTCACCTTGAAGCAGTTCTCGTCAGCCATGCAGCGCTCCGCCCTCCACTGGTAGCTGGTCTCACGGGCAGCGCGCACACACCGGGAGGCCAGGTTCCCACCGGCTGCGCCACGCTTCTTCTCACTCAGGTACAGCTCGGCCACCTTCAGGCAGACATCGTCACTCACCAGGTGGTGCAGCTGCAGTGACAAGGGACAGGCCTGAGGAGAGCCGGGACCTCACTGCGCCAGAACGCAGTGCACCTGACTGGATGAGATCAGCTGACATCACACTGATCACATCAGAGTACACAAGACCTACCTAAACTACCAGAACTGGCTCAAACTGCCCAGCGCTAGTTTAGACCACAATAAACCAGATCAAACCACAATGAACCCAGCTAGACCACAGCAAACCAGATGAGATCAGGCTGAACTAGATCACAGCAGACAAAGCCAAATCAGACCAAGCGTAAAAAGATCAGGCAGAGCAGCCCACACTGCATTACAGCGGATGGCCAGGGATGAGTCCTAAGACTTGGGTCTGCCACGGCACAGTCCCCACCCAACACGCTCAGTGGGGGCTTGGATGTCCTGCTCGCCCCATTTCAGAAGAAGCCAAGCTTGAGGTCAGACACACAACCCCCATAGGATGGCATAGTCATCCTGTGTCCTGCCGTGGCTCTGCTGAACACATGTGGCCACAGTAGACAGGCATGGCCCCACAGGCGCCTGGCTCAGGCAGCCACAGCCCTATGGCAGTCCTGGCCCATGGGGTCCTAGGCCGACAGCCAGGAGAGTTGCTTCTGCACATAGCTCCCAGTGCTTCCGAGGCCTGTCTGGCCCCAGTGCTGGTCCCCTGGTATCTCCACACAGCTGCGCTGGATGGCAGGGCTCTGTATGTCCTGCTGCCTACCACCCACAGCACGCCAGGACTGCAAAGGAGACAGGAAGGGACACAGTCCTACGCCCAGCACATAGAAGGGGTCAGTAACACAGGGCACAGGGAATAGGCGCCTGGCTGCTGCTGGTGTCGCTGTCCTGAGCTGCAGGGACCAGGCCAACACAGCACCAGTGTCCACACAGTGCCCTGCAGCCGCAGGAGAAAGCCACACTGTGTGGCCACATAGGCAGCACCATACCCACCCCAGGAGTGGGACAGGTAGCAGCAGCTCTACCCTGTGGCCTGGTGGGCAAAGGGTTGGACCCTGGGCCCAGAGCAGGGGCAGAGAGCTGGGCTGGGAGGAAGTACTCTGGAGGGCTTGGTACACAGGAACAGTGACAGCACTGTTTATTCCTGCACCTCGGCTGTCTGTCATGACAGGATAGTCCTACTTGACAAGCAGGAAACAGAAGTCACAACAACAGCACTCAGGGGTGGCGGGCAGGCCTCGACCCAGGCTGCGCCCTTCAGGGTTCTGCTGCGTGCCGGCCCATTCCCTCACTGACACCATCCATGCCCTGGGGCCACCACAATGCAGCACTGTGGTGGTTCCAGTGACATGCCTGGTGACTCACCCGGGACCCTATGTGGAACTTGCAGACATCCAGGGCAGCCCTGTCCACGTCCCCACAAGGACGCCCCACAGCCATCCCACAACGCCATCCCAGGACGATATTATGCAGCCATGGAGAGAGAGGCAGCTCACACCCAGGCTACCCGCAGATGAGCCCTGGAGGCGCGGTGCTGAGCCACAGCAGCCTGACACAGAAAGCATGTGTTCTGTGACTCCATGAGAAACATCCGGACCCTGGAAGCCAGTGGCCCCTGGGGCAGGGAAAGCCCAGAGCTTCTCTGTTTCCACACATGACCGTGCACACGGCCCAAGGGCCTCTCACATGCTATTCTTAATAAGGAAGCTCCATGGTGTGGACTTTGTGCTCCTGCATGGTGTTGGGGACAGAGGGGCTTGGGCTCCGGAGCACCAGGACATGGGATTTGGATGCTAAGACTGCTGTGAGCTGTGCACTTCTGAGGGCCTTGGTGGGTTCCAGGGCCTTTGGGCCAAGCTGCACCCCAGCCTTTTCACATTTTTAAGACAGTGTTCACTAAGCTGCCAAGCTGGGCTCAATCTGATGATCCTTCCACCTCAGCCTCCCTGAGTGCTGGGTACACAGGCATGCCCCATCTTGCCTGGCTACAATGGTAGATTTTGTCACAACAATTTCATGCTTTTAAAAAGATGTTGGCCAGGGATGAAGCTCAGTGGCGTAAGTGCCTGCCTGGCAAGAACCGCAGTATCAAAAAATAAATAAAAAGATGTCTGTGTGCTGCTGACCACAGGGCCAGCTTTCTGGAGAAATCCAGGAAGGGTCAGGCTAAGCGGGAGAATCTCTAAAGCCCACAGAGGCAAGGCAAGGCGGGGCCTGAAGGGGCAGCCCACTGCCCATTGCTCCGACCCATTCAACTCCACCCCGCCCCACTGGCCCCGCCCACCCGGCCCCTCCAGCCCCGCCCACTGGTCCTCACCTGGCGCGCGATGTTCTGCACCAGCTTGTCCATGGTGAAGCCGATATAGGCATGGATGGTGAACATCTCGCGCAGAGTGTCCTCGTACTGCGTGGGGTCGATGCTGCCCTCCAGCAGGCTGCGCACCATGTCCAGGAAGGCTGGGTAGTATTCCTCCAGCTCCACCTCACCTGGGGGGCCGCGGGCTGAGCGCAGGCCTGGGCTCTGGGGCAGGCCTGCAACCCCCCACCCCTCGGCTGCCCTGCACGCTCGTGGCCAGCCACGTGGGTGGAACTGCTGGTGGCAGCTTGGAAAGAACTAGAGATGGTGAAAGACGGCTGGCTGGCATGGCAGAGCAGGAACCAAGCGGTGGCTGGTGGCAGGAGCCAGCTGGCAACTTTGCCCTTTGCAGTGCTGCGCAGCCTAGCTCCTTGCAACTGCCTGTGAGACCCACGACCCAGGGGGCTCTATAAGACCTGGGGGGCTCGTACATGTGGGCAAGAAGCTTGGGCCTGCAGGGGTCCGGGCTCCAGCGACACAGACCCTGCGCCCCTGTGGGTGGCCCAGCGTCTCCGGTGACCGGCAGTCAGGGATAGGCACAGGGGCCTTACGCTGCGACACAGGCAAGCTGGACTCTGTGTGCACCTGTGTCAGGGGTTCCCAGGGCAGTGTGGGGGTGACAGCAATGCCAACACATTCCCAGTGCAGCCGGCCGGGGCCCTGCCTCTTTCTGGAGCCTGGGGTGAGTCCTGGCTGAGCAGATGCTCACCACTAGGCCACACCCCTCCCACTTTTGGAGACAACGTTGCATTATGTAGCCCATGCTGGCCTTGCACTCCCAGCAATGCCCTGCCTCACCCTCCTGGCTGCTGGGACATCATGATGGGCGGGTGACATTACACCCCCATTTCTGCTTTGAAACAAGATTTGCTCTGCTGTCCAGACATCAGGATGGGCCTCATGGTACCCCTGCCTCAGCCCCACGCTCACGCCCCGGGCCCATGTCCCTCCTGGTCCCCTCGGGGCAGCACTTACTGGGCTGCTTGAGGCGCAGCTCCATGGCAGGGTCACCACCCTTCTCTCGCCGGCCACCGCACAGCAGCCGTGCACGCTCCTTCTCACGGCGGTGCTCCAGTAGCTGCGTCTGCGCCTGCCGGTAGATCCGCAGCAGCCGTGCGCACAGCGTCTGGTGCAGCCGCAGGAAGAAATACCAGTTGTTGTTGGCAAAGAACAGGCTGTACACGTCGTCCAGGGCCTGTGGCGGTGGCGGCGGCGGCGGCGGTGGTGGCACGGGCTGCTCCTGCGGTGGCACGTCTGCAGCGGTGCCCTTGTCCTTGTCCTCAGTGGCGCCACCCTGCAGCCCAGGCCCCAGCTTCTTTCGTGTGCCAGCCCCACTGCCAGGGTCAGAGGCCGGGCCGTTCTCATCAGTGGAGTCATCAGAGGCGCCCGGCTCAGGCTGCTGCTGCTGCGAGAAGAGGCCGGGCAGGAAGCGGTGCAGCAGCTGCTGGATGGTGGCCTGGTCCTCCTTCTGGATGGCCGGCTGCCGCTTCACATAGTAGCTGATGAGTGCCGCTGCATCCTCCAGGATCTGCCGGTCCTCATACACAAAGATCAGGTGTGGCTCGCTGGCTGGGGCGCTGCGGCCCTCCGAGTGCTGCTCCTGGTGCTGTGAGGACGTGACACGCAGGGTTGCACAGGACCCAGGACAGAACCCCCCTCCCCCAACCTTGCCCCTACTCCGTTCCTATAGTGAGTCCTCAGGCAGCCCCACCAGGGATCCAGGACTGGTGGGTGAAGCCAGCCAGCAGCAGCATGCCTCATGGGTGCCACACTGTGGTCGGCCATGTCAGGGTGCAAGGTCCCCAACAGCAAGGCCTTTTTGCCTCCTGTGGCTACATGCTTCTTGTAGCCACTAGAGGCCCTGCACCGCATGCTGGCTCTGCAGGGTGCAAAGACCCAGCTGGGGCTGGGGCTCGGCAGGGTCTTAGGGTAGATGCCACAGGCCTCAAGCGTCCCAAAGGCGGGCAGTGTCCTGGGGACACACTGTAGGTGAGCTAGGCTCCTAGGCTTCTGGGTCTCCTCCCACACCACACACACAGGCTTAAATACCAGCGTGAAGGGGGCACACTGCCTGCCACCCCTGCACCCACAGAGTCTGAACCCAGTGTGGGCACTGCTGCAAGACATCCTCAGTGCCCGCAGGGCTGGGGCTGGGCAATGCACAGGCTGGTTCCACCCCAGCATCTGGGGAGCAGCCAAGGCCTGTGCAGTTGCCCCTAACCAAGGGAAAGCAGCATGGGAGGTGTAGACTTCAAGTGGAAGCCAAGGCCGGAGGGAGGACTTAGGCTGCTGCCCAGGGCCTCTGGTATCCTGAGGACTGGCCCCTGTCCTGGAGATAGGCCCACCGCCCTCCCACAGTTATGGCCACTGTCCCCACACTGGCTGCCACCAGCTATGGCCTCTGCTCTCTGCCTCGAGCTGGGTCTGACAGCCGACAGCAGGAGTCACTACCAGCCCTTGGCGCTGGCTTGGTGCCCACCTCGTCATAGACGCTCTCAATCTCATTCAACAGGCTCTTGGAGCGCAGCGCCTTGGTGTCGTTCTGCTTGAAGTTCACGGCCTGGTGGTCCAGCGACTTGAGGTAGGCCTTCTCATACTGCTCACGCCAGATCTTGTTGAAGCCCTGCTGCGCCTCGCGCCACTCCTCCTCCTTGGCTTTCAACCTGTAGGTAGGTGGGCGAGAGGGGCTCAGGGGCCCAGGGGGCCCAGGGCTCTAATGCCCTCCCAGTCGCGATGGTGGGTGCCAGAGCGAGGCTGGACACAAAAGGGAAGAGGGAAGCTGAGGCAGGAGGATCTTCCACTCAGGCCCATCTGGGAGCTTAACTTAGGAGACAGGCAGCTGAGAGGGAGGCCTGGGCTCGAGCCCCAGAGGTGCCTAGAATGGTGGGCGGGCCTGCAGTGCCTCCTGATCCTTGGCTCCTTGCTGCAGTTACTCCAGGAGAACATCAGCTCTGCCTAGAGCCCAGAGGAGGCACCCTGCATGGCCACCCTACCCAGGTCTGTGACCAGGTCTGTGACCCGGTACCAGCGGTGTTGCCTCGCACAGCCACTTAAGGAATACCATTCTGTGGCACAGGACAGGCGAGGTAAGCAGTTGGCAGCAAGCCTGGCGGCTCCTTCTGCGAATGGCTCCAACTGGGACCAGGTGGTAACCCAGGGCTTCGAGCCTTCCTTGGCCTGAGCCACAAGTGGTCGAGAGGGCCCCACCGGGCAGTGAGCCACACACGTGCATTCTGAAGGAGCTGCAACCCACCCTGCACACCTACAGGGTTCCAACCTGAAGATCCAGCCTATACTGCCCTAGCTGGCCTTGAACTCTAGGCAACCCTCCTGTCTCAGCCTCCCAGCTGCAGTGAACATAGACTGTGTTCTCATCCCAAACCCTAGACGGCACAGCTTAGTTGTGACAGCAGGGTGGCCCTGGAGGCACGGCACCTCTTTAGGACAACAGGCACGGCGGCAACAGGGTTCTTCTTCAGGCTCTCAATGATCTCGGGGGCCTTGTCACCATAGATACGGTGGATGGCCCGCCGCTGGATCACCTCGGACGTGCCGCCCAGCGCATCATCCAGCCGGAAGCGCTCCTGGTCCTCAGGCGCCATGCGCGACAGCTTCTTCTGCACACTCTCTAGCACGCGGATGGTGGCCAGGTTGGTTTCCAGGACCACGTCCAGCTGCAGGGGGCAGAGAGGGCCAGCACCAGGTGGCACAGCGGGCCAGGAGACACTCAGCTCCAGTGACACAGTGCTGACTCCATTTGCACAGCTGCACACAGCACAGGGCGCGAGGGAAAGGCAGGACACACCCATGTGCATACACTTGTCTGCCACCCCATGTCTGCCCCCAAGTGGCGTCGAGCCTCCCTGACAGCAGTGGGTGTCCCGTGGCCACCGTCCTCAGAAGGATGTTCTGCGCTAGAGGACTGAGCTCGGCTCCCCACCCATGGCCTGCACCAGGCACCACCCTTTGACCCTGCACTTCCAGGGCTCCAGCACCACGAGCCAGTGCAGTTCTGTTCATTCTCAATTACCCTGATGGGCACAGTGTGACTCCCACACACTAGGGGTGGAGGGAGGAGGACCCCAAGTCCAGCCCATCTGGGGCACCATGACAACTGAGACCCTGTCACTGAGAGGTGGAGACTGGTGGGTGTCTCAGTGTGCCGTCTCTGTGACACTGTGCTAGCTTTATTTCTTTTGAGACAGGGTCTCATATGTAGTTCAGGTCAGCCTTGAGCTCATGGCAATCCTCCTGCCTCGACCTCCCAAGTACTAAGACCGTGTGTCCCCACCATGCCTGGCTTGTGCCACTTTTATGAGGTATCTCTGCTCCTAGGTAAAGTCCCTAGAAAAGACACCTAGAACTCAAGTTATTTTTTCATGCTGTAAACAACTGATACCTCAATCAAAATTTCAGCAAATAAATAAATAAAGCTAGTTTTGTTTTTTTTTTTTGATAGTACTAGGAATCAAACTCAGTTTCTTGCACCCACAAGGCAAGTGCTCATGACTGAGCTATGAACTCTGCTCTTCGGTTTTTTTGTTTGTTTGTTTGTTTGTTTGTTTGTTTATTTATTTATTTATTTATTTATTTTGTGTGTGGCCAGCTCAGCCCACCAGGGGGCGGGGATGGCTGGCATGTGGTGCTGGGGGATCAAACCGCGGTCCCTGTGCTTTGCTTAGCTTAGCTTGTTCTAAGTAGGTGCTTTAGGCCACCGAGCCATCTCACCAGCCCCTGCTCTTCGTTTTGAGACAGCATCTCACTAAGTGGCCCAAGATGGACTTGAACCTGTGATCCTCCTGCCTCAGCCTCCTGAGCAGCTGGGACGACGGGTGTGCACCATCGGGTCCAGTCCTATGCCAGGCTCTGCTCAGCCCTAGAACAGGCACCGAGGCAACCAGGCAGCCCGAGGACAGCAGGCAGCTGCAGTGGCGCACATACCTCAAACCGCTCATCCTCGCAGCGGTGCAGCTGCTCCTCATACGGCGTCTTCTTGGAGCTGACAAAGGTGGAGTCCTCTGACCAGGAGGGGAAGGAGACCCAAGTGTCGTTCAAAACCTGTGTGGAGGGGCAAGTCGGAAGCTGCCCTTCGGTGGGGACACAAGGATTGTGCTGTCACACTGACCTTATGAGCTGCTGCCTGGACACACCACCAGGAAAGTGAACCATGGGGTCATTCTGAGGGACAATGAGCCACTGGCTGGTGGCACACTGCCCAGTGTGGGGCAGTGAGCTCCCCATACTGTGGAGAGCAATGTTTGTGGGCAATTGGGCTCGGATGTACAGCTCTGTGGCTGTGGTGTCCACCCCTGGCAGTGCTGTGTACAAATATTACTTTATTTATATCCATAGGCAGTGGGCCAGACATAGTGGGCAGTTTGGGTGACACCTGGCAATGTAGTAATAACCAGCCACAAGCCCTAAAAAAGCCTCCCATGGTCATGCTGCAGCACCTTGCTGAGAACAACCTCAGGTACAGTGGGGTCCTGCCAGTGCTCAGTCCAGGCCTGTGCAGGGAGGAGGCAGCCCATCCAGCGCAGCCCGGGGCGAAGCACAGAGCAGCCCACACCAGGGGCCACTGACGCCTGGCATCACACCCGCCCCGCCTGTGCCCGCCCGCACCACGGCCACCTCCTTGCAGATGGCGGTCCTCCCGCTGCAGCGCGGCTGCTGGTAAGTCTTGGGCAGCGCCCGGTAGCTGGAGCCAATGCGCTTGCAGGAAGCATAGTCGATCTCACGGCCCATGCCGTCCCCGGAGCGCTCACTCAGCGGTGGTGCAAACGACAGCTCCTTCACCCCCAGGAAGGACTTGAACTGCGCGAAGAGCTCTGGGAACTTCCTAGGGGGCAGGGTAGCTGCAGGCCTGGCAACCCTGCCACCAGGCCGCCACCCCACCTTGCTACTGTCCACAGCAGGACCCACACGCCTGTGCAGGGTTCCCAGGGTGAACGAGGTCAGGCCCACAGGTTGAAAACATCTCAGTGGGAGATGGGCCAACTGCACCCACCCCAGCGAGCACTACAGGGCCCAGTTGTGGTGCCTGCGCCCACAGGACTGCCTGGAAGCTGCTGCCTCTGCCACCCGCCACCTGAGGGAAGCCACTGTTCCACTCCAGGCAACACTCACCCCAGGAATGGGCTGACAAGCTGCAGGAGCTCAGCCCCTGACACCAGCTCCTGGTTGAAAAGCGCAATACAGCGCAGAAAGTTCTCGTAGACCTCCTGGCTCTTCAGCACCCGGCGCACCTGGGGGGGCAGCGCACATGGGGCTGTGTGCGCCTGGGCATAGCAGCTGCATCCTGCCCCACCACACCGCCACAGCCCAAGTGGCAGGCAGCTGGATGTCACCTTGAGCCCTGCCTGGTCACAGTGCTCTAGCATGACCCCAGTCCCAGGACCTGAATGACATCGAGTGTCCCCAGGGGGATAGGCAAGGGCCACCCTTACCTTGTCAAAGAAGGAGAATTCTTGCAGCGTCCCATACTTGCCCACAGCAGCCAGCGACAGGTCCTTGGTGCCCCGAAGCTTTACCTTCTTCTGCAGAGACAGCCTACATCAGGGCCGGAGCGGCTGCGCTCCCAGGAGGCTAGCAGGCAGGCAGGCAGGTGGTTACCTTGGCGGGCGCGGACACAGGCCGAAGCAGCGAGGGCCGCGAGCGCTTCTTGCTGTGCTCCAGCCCCTTCTCATGCTCGCTCTTCGGGGTACTGCTCACTTCACACGGCCCACTGCCCGTGAACTGCGGGAACATGGGGGTCAGCGGGCATCACACCAGGCAGCGGCACCTGCGGTGGCCAGGGGCAGCAGCACGGGGACAGTTGACAGATGGGTCAGTAGGCCACACTGGGAGGGCTGGGCCAGGCGGCTCTCATCAGCATGTGGGTTCGCGCTGACAGCCCCCATGTGGCCCTGGCCCTGCCCTCCCCACCTGGACACAGGATGCCTCCCACAGGCCTTGGTGCATGGGGATACCACAGAGGGCGCTGGCGCAACACCACCAGGGCACCTGCAGAAGCATGAGGAAGACAGGAGAGGCAAAAGCCCAGAGAGCAGAACTAGCAGGGCAGGACTACTGCATGAGCACCAGGGCCAGATGTGGTGGTGCTCCCTGTGACTGCAGTACCGGGGAGGTGGAGGCAGGAGGACCACAAGCTCAGACCCAAGAGGGCTGCTCAGCCACTTAGTGCGGCCCTGTCTCCAAATGGACAGCAATGGAGAAGGGGGATGCAGCTGGCCCAGTGTGAAGGCCTTGGCTTTGGTCCCCAATACTGAAAGGAAAAGCAGCAAAGTGCACAGCATGTGCTGCGCGTACCACTGTCACCTGCACACAAGCCCATCTGAGGAGAGCAGCTCCAGCCCACAGCTACACACACACACACAGCTCTGGTACCCGCAGTGCAGACAGCCACCGCAGCCTGAGCCAGGGCCTTGGGGAGACAGGGCCTCAAAGGCCGCCATCTGCTTGGAGGACGACTATTCCGAAGCCTGCAGCTCTCCCGCGCGGCCTGGTCTCCCTGAAGACCCCAGTCAGGGCTGCGAACCAAGCTTCCTGGCTGCGGCTATGTCTGTTCGCTGCACTGGCACAGCCTGTGTGCACACTGCCATCCATGGCTGCTTCTGGTCTGTGGGGCTCGGGTGCCGGCCAGGCCCTCCAGGAGGCTGCAACCCCTGAGCCAGGAGAGCAGCTCTCTTCCCTTTTGCTGCCCTTCACACGTTTATTCTTGGATTTATTTACTCTTAGATTCATTCTTGGATTTGTGAGACAGGGCTCACCATAGCCCAGGCTGACCTGGACCCTGCAGCGCCCTGTGACCTACACACACCACACTGAGCTCACCTGGCACACCACACCTGTGCAGTGGTACCTGGTGTGGACAGCAGACCCACCTGTTCTGAACATGGGGACAGTGCTCGCTGCCAGCACAGTGGGGCTGACAGTGGGGCTGACACTCGCCACAGCAGCATGGGTTTTCCTGCACAGGCCAGGCAGCACCACAAACACCACCATCCATGAGGCCCAGGGACCCAACCCTATGCCATGTCCAGACTGTGTCCCTGAACACTGCTGAGTCCTAGAGACTGGTAACACATGGTGCCCCAAAGCCACAGCATGGAGGACTCGAAGGACGGAGCGCAGGTGGGGAGACGGGGTTAGCCAGCTCCCTAGGGGGCTGTGGGCCTCACTCACTCCCTGGTGCTGTAGACCGGGCACAACCTGCGAGGGTCAGGAAGAAGCGCAGCCTGCCCAGGGCTCCGCCCAGCAGCACAGGTTCAAGGCCAGCCAGGACAGCTTAGTGGGACCTTGTCACAGAACAAAATGAAGCAAGAAAACAGAAACCCACAGCTGCTGTCAGATCCAAGAGCAAAAGGCACCGTGTCAGGGTCAGGCCAGTGTAAGAGCAGAGACCCATAGGTTGGAACCCAGAGCTCAGAGAGGCCCATGCATCACAGTCCAAGTCCCACAGTGACTGTGCTGGGGGAAGTGATGGGCTCCTCCACCCTGGGGAACGGCTGCAGCTCCACGCACCCACCTCACGCCACTCAAGAACCCCATTTGGGACTGAAGCCGTGGTGCCCATCCACCCAGCACTGTGGGAGGCTGACAGGAGGGCTGTGAGTTTAAGCCCACCAGGGCACTTAACTAGCACCTTGATGAGACCCCCACCTCAAAGTACAAAATAAAAGCCTGGGGTGGGGCTGGTGTGAAGGCCTGTGCTTAGAGAAGCACTGTTTACAGCATGAGGGCTGGAACTGTCATGCTTTCCCAGGGGCCAAGGGGAGGCTGTGTGACCTCTGGGGCTCCTCGCACTGGGCCTCATAGCAAGAGCAACGCCAGGAGAAAGCGGCTGCTGCACTTCGCCTACACTGAACACCTCTGTGGCTCCAGGAGACTGAGAAGGGGCACAAGGGAGACGGCACACAGACATCTTTGTAGAGCACAGGGTGGGAAAATACTAGCGTCGGGACCACTGTCAGTCTCCCCAGGCAACAAAGAACTTAAACCACTGGTCGAGGCAGCTGGTGGGAGCGTGCACCTCACATGGCAGGCCAGGCACACTGCCGTGGCGCAGCTGCTGGGCTCACAGGGTGGGCTTCCTCCCCCAGTTAGCAAGCTGGACGCAGTAGCATGTCCTCTACCCCAGGGACCTGAAAAACTGAGGCAGGAGCATCCCAAGCTCAAGGCCAAGATGGGCAGTCTAATGAGACTGTGGCTCAAAGCAAAGAGAGGGTTGGGGACACTGCTCAGTGAGCCCTGGGGCCAATCTCTATCACTCCACATACAAACATACAAGTGCCTTCAGCGGACGAATGTATAAACACACACGGGTCAGGCACGCAGTGGAATATTACTTGATTATGCAAAAGGAATGAGGCTGACACAGCTATGACAGAAGAACCTCCAGATCGTGACACTGAGCAACAGCTGCTAGACACGCCAGGCCACATGGTAGGTGATCCCACAGAGAACTTCACAGGGCCGGGAAGAGGGGGTGCTTCCAGGTTCAGGCTCCCCTGGCAGCCACCACTGCCCCAGGGCTCCAGAGGTGATGGCCACACACTGGATGTACTCAATGCCGTGGAGTCACACACTGAGAACGGCTCTGCATCACGTTAACTGCACCTCCGCTCTTCCAGGGAACCTCGGGTCCATCAGCAGATCGGGGAGGAAGGAGAGCAGAGCAGCTGGCCCACCGTGGGAGGATGGCCCCGCTCCAGCGCCCAGGCTGATGCGCCCACCCGCTGCCTCCCACACCCACCTGACTCACCAGCGAGCGCTTAGCCTCAGGCAAGAACTGCCCAAACTCGGACAGCAGGTCCTCCTGACCACGGAAGAGGTTGGCCACCTCTGTGAAGACCTCCTCCTCCGACATGCCACGGAACGGACGGCCCTTGGCGTGCAGCTGTTCCTTCTGTGGCAGTGACAGGACATGCATGAGGCCAACAGCTTCCCATGCGCCACAGCCTGGACTGGTGGCCTGGGTCCATGAACCACCATAGGCTGGACAGGCGGGGCCATGCAGCCACACTGAGCTGCAGCAGGACAATGGCACCCACAGCACCAACCTGGGAGGGGACACACCAACCCTGCTCCTAGGTCGCAGGACATGGGCTGTGCATTTCAGAGAGGGACATGGGATCCTGTGCAGCCGGCTGCTTGCTCCAGAAGAGCAGCCCAAGCAGCCCTTCTGCAACCTTGCTCCTGACTAGATGGGTTGGGAAGGGGGGCTGGGGAGCTCCTGGGGCAGGACCAGCCTCACGCCGGGGGGCCGCGTTTCCTTAGTGCCAGTGCAGGGTCCTGAAGAAAATCAAAACCTTAAGCCTAAAAAGGCAGGGGGCGGTGGGGGGCTCGCCTGGTACGTGTGCAGGATCTCCAGGAAGGACCTGTACACCTCCGGGTGGTCCAGGAAGCGGGTCTTGATTTTGTTCACATAGCTGATGGCATTGTTGAACTCCACAGAATCCGACTCCAGCGGCACCTGGGTCTTGTCCTCTTTGTACGGCGCTTGCGGCTTCAAGTCCTCTGCACCGTCACCGTGGCCACGTGCATTCTCCTGACACAGACCAGGACAGTGGTCAGGTGTGCACCCACGAGGGCAGCGGGCACAGGCGCAGCCAGTCTGCTCTCCCCGGCGGGTGCCCCAGGCTGATCCACTGGCAACAAGTTCTCAGCCACATCTAAGGCCATTTATTTATTGCCATTTATTTTTTTGTACTGGAGATTGAATTCAGACTTTGCACTTGCCAGGCAGGCGCTGATGCCACTGAGCTATCTCCCCAGTCCATTTATTTATTATCCCCAGGATCTCCAGAAGTTGCCCAGGCTGTGCTTTCGAGCCTCCTGTCTCAGCCTCCTGAACAGCTGGCCTAGAAAAGTGTACCATCTGTCACTAGATGTGGAGCAGGCTGGTTCTAGGGCCTGGAGGACGGGGCAGGCGGCCTGGGCTACCTCATGTGTCCTCTAAGGCTCACCTCATCCCTCACCTCCAACCTAGACCCCTCAGGGGTAGCTGGTCCTTCACACAGTGAGGTGCAGCCTGGCTGCTTCTGACCAGGATGACAGTGTATGTCAGCAGACCCTCCTCATAGCCTCACTGTCCTTGGTGGCCACCCAGGGCCCGATGCAGACACAGTGGCCGAGACCTGAGGGCCCTGGCCCCATGTCCCTCCTGTGCTCAACAGCCAGGCCTAGGGCAGGCTGCTGACTCACATGGCTCATGCCACCTTCCTGTAGCCTGCACCCTGTCTGGTAGACTCAGCACACCCATCTGGTATGGACATCCCATCAATAGCTGCCACTGTGTCCAAGAGACCAGCAACAGGAAAAGACAGGGCCAAGCTGTGACTCAGGTGAGGGTGGCCTAGAGTGTGAGGGGCCCTGGCTCCAGCCAGCGCTAGCACTAGTACCAGCACCAGCACCATAAGACCAAACCAAGTCCACCTCAACCCCAAACACAGGTCTACTAGCTTCTGGCGTGTTTCTCTCCCTGGCTTCCATCTGCAGCAAAAACAGCCTGTGACCAGGCAGCTGGGTGGTCACTTGCTGAGCCAGCATCAATACAGCACTGCCTGGGGGCAGGCAGGGGCCAGGAGAAGGCAGCCTGGGAAACCAGTGGCTGACTGGGTGTCTCTCCAAGCACACTGGCTACCAGGGTCTGACACATGGGGCCAGAGTGCAGGAAAACCCAACAAGGCCTGGGCCTTGTGACACCACACCAAGGGACAGGCAGAGTGCCAATGCAGGAACGGACACCTGTCACACTAATTCACAGCAGCTGCATTCACAGCCAGGGGGCAGCACAGCTCTGACAGTAGCAGGAGCAACCAGCACACTAGGAGGCCCAGACAGAGCATCCCAAGTTTCTGCCCAGCCTGGGCTACTTATAAGACCCTGCCTTGACACTGGAAAAGGCAAAGCTGAGGATGGAGCCCATTGCAAAGGTCCTGCTTCAACAAGCAGCACAAAAAAGAAAAAAAAATAAAACAAGCCCAACATAACTGCACCAATCTGAGACTCTGAGCCTCAAAAACATGGTGTGAGTGACCATGGCAATGCAGGCCGCACAATGTATGACCATGTTCCCATGAAACGTCCAGGCAGGGAAGGGGCGGGGTGGGCTTTGGGCCATGGGTGCTGGAGGGCGCAAAGCAGGCTGCACAGGGCTGTTTGGAGGTGGTGGGATGTGCAGATCAGTGGCAGTGGCCACACTGTAACGGAGAAGACCCTTAACACTGGGAAGGGCACATTCCCATGGCCATGCTTCAGGAGACCCCAGACTTTAAATGGCTGCGCAGGTACCTTCCAGGACAACCCAGCCTGTCCCTGTCCCCTGCTCATGGTATCACACAGCCTGTGGGGGAGGGATACTCACTGCCCTTGGGCACACATTGCCTCTCTCAGCCCCATCAACTCCAACCATGCCCACTGTCCTGATCCAGCAGCCTGCACATCAGCTCTGCACCCCTTCCCTGTCCCTGGCTCCCCAGCTACTGTCCTCAGGCTCCCCACTCCCTGTGTACTGCATCTTGGATATAACACATGGTCCTCTTGTAGTCTCTGCCTGGTCTCTTCTTTTTTGCAGTACTGGAGATGGAACCCAAGGCCTTCTCAGTGAACTACACTCTGGCCTTTCTCTTTGGGAACCTCCTGCTCAGACCCCAGGAGTTGGGGGTGCTGGGCTAGCAGATGTGCCACCCCTTCACTGCCACTGTCAGGAAGCAGGGCACAGAGGCCAGCAGCACCCAGCAGGTGGGTACCTCCGTAGGACTACAGGCTGGAGCTGGGTGTAAATGGGTCATCTGAAGGGGTGACACTGGGACACTGAGCTCCTATAGCTTTGCTCTGCTCTCTTTCTGTGTGTGTGTGTGAGTGCATGTGCACGTATGTGTGCACACGTATGGTATGGAGATGGAACCCAGGGCTTCACAGCAGCTCCATGACTCGTGCTTTTTATCTTTTTTTTTTTTTTTTGCTTTTTATCTTTTGAAACAGGAACTTACCAAACTGCTAAATCTTCCATCCTCCAGCCTCAGCCTCTCCAAGTGCTAGGATCACAGGTGTGTGCTACTTTGAGCATCTGACCCCAGGGTGGAGTGTGACTTGAGGAGTGGTAGCCAGCGGTCCCCAGTGGCGCCCTTCCCGGCTCCCCTGGTCCTGCCTGTTTGGTACTGTGTCTGCCCCTTGGACCTGGGCACTCAGGTTGTTCTGCCCCCAGGGACATTGCTGACACTGTAAGATGCAGCCCCTGCCTTTCCTCCCAGGCGCCCAGAGCCGCCTCCTCCCGCCTCAGCAGCGGCAAGTTTCCTAAGACCAAGACATCTAGAGAACAAAGCTGGAGTTCAAAACGGAAAACAAATCCAGTCACCAGGGCCTCGTGTGGGCAAGTGGGCATCTACTGGGCTTCAAAGGACACCTGGCCTGCTACTGGAGACGTGGTAGCTGCTGGGTAGGTTTCACCAGCCAGTGAGAACCAGTGCTCCAGGGTGCCAAGGGAGGCAGCCTGTGGGGAGGTTCAGGGGCAGGAGCAGCAGAGACGCTACTATTCACAAACCCTGAATGCAACCATGGGGGAACCCACGAGATCCAGCAGGAGATGAACCTGGAGACAGCAAGGCCACTTCTCCCTCCCAGACACACCTTTCCCAGGGAAGGAGCATTGCTCGTTCCCTCTGAAGGAGAAAGCACTTTGGCTTTGGTGCCACGTGGACCTGAGGGTCTCCTCTGTGCTGCACCCATGTAGCAAGACTGCCGCACCTGAGCACAGCAGAGAGAATTGCACAGCACCCATAACTAGGAGGTGCAGTCTTTCATCTGGCCCTCCTGTACTTGTTTGTCACAGCCCCCAGCCCTGTAGCAATGTCTGCCAACAACAGGGCAATGACTTGGCCACTGGAAGCCCACAGTGCTAAAAGTCCCACAATGCACTGCCCCCCCCCGCCCCAGGAAAGAACTGGAGCTAAAAGATAACTGCGCTAAGACAGAGAAAAAGGCAGTGGCATCTTATCCAGGTTCACCTAGAGCAGGCTTTCCTGTTCTCACCGGGTTGCGGGGAGCTTCAGCAGCAAGGGTTATAGAGACAGACAGGGTAGCAAGCTGTCACCCCAAAACTAAGGCATCAAAAGTCCAAGCCTGAGCTGAGCCCATGACCCTGGCAATCCCAACCAAGGCTATTCACAGCACACAGAGCTAAGCCACTTAACAAATATTCCCTCGGGAGGCCAAGTGTGCGCTTTGCCGCTGGCCACACTCACCCCTGCTCCTGACCTAAGTGTCACATGCGGCCCCTGGGGGATGCAGAGGCTGCTGGTGAATTTCTACCTGCTCTGATCTGTGCTGGTCTAGAAAATGCACAGCTCTCATTCTGGCTCCCTGCAATGGTACAAAGGGGACACGGAAGGCCCAAAGACCCGAGCCACCATACCTGGCTCGTCAGAGGTGACTGTATGTTTATCTTGCCGTTCTTAGGAATGTCTATTCTGTATCCAAGGGGAAGGAAGGCGTTGAATCCCACGATGAGGTCAGGGTGCTCATGGAAGAGCTGGGACACACGTCTGATGACTCCAGGAGTGTCGATGCTAGAAAGGGAAAGACCTCAAGTGGGCAAGAGGGTTGGGGTATTGAGTCAAAACCGACTCCGCTCCTGATGCCACCACACTGCCCATCACAAGTGTCTAATATGGAGGCAGGTCTGCATTGCCCACCCACTTGCTGCTGTCAGGCCTGGACCCCAGGCCATCTTGGAGAGATAACTGAAGCACATTCACAAAGCATAGCTCCCCAAGTGCTCCCACCATAGCACTGGGCTCGGAAAATCTCAAGACTCCAAGCACAGAAGGCCAGTCTTCTAGGCGATGGGACAATTTCTCTCATTGTGTCCCAGCTTGAGGCCGCTGCAGGTTCTGAGCTAAGCAACGGAGCACAAAACATGAGAACCACAGGTCCACAGGTTGTCCTAAAGGAGATGAGGGGCCTGCAGGAACCTAGGAGCCTGAGGGCCTGAGCTCGGATGCACCTCTGCCAAGAAGGTGAATCCCTTATCTACTGCAAGACCCTGCTAGAGTCCTGTGAGAAACAAAGGCCGGCTCTCATGGTACACCCATCTCAGGCCCTCTCAATTCTGAATAGCAACAATGTTTTTTTTTTCCTAAGCATTTGGTGTCCCTTACACTTCCAAGCAGGCCTGGGATTAGAGGCTGCCAAGAGAGGCACTTTGGGAACGAGATTTAAGGAGGAGACAGTGCCAAAACACAGTCAATTGGGAGAAATACAATTTCACGTAATGCTTTACAAAACAAACAAACCAAAAATCAAAATTAACTCCTCCGGATCTTTCATGAACAAAACTTCCATAAAAGCCAACATTTTAGATAAGGATAGGACCCAACTCTGCCTGCCTTCTAAAGACCCCTGCCCCCTTTGCGTCGTGCCCACTGCGGCACAAGGTGGGTCCACGCATCCCCAGTTTTTAGGACAGGTTGAGGCTGGGAATGGGGCCAGCTCCTGCAAGGTCGGCAGGCTGCGGGGTACGGGATGGGGGCTCCGCACTCTGAGGCCGGGCGGGCGCGGGGGTCCCCGGGCTGGGAGGGTCCCCGCGGTCACCTCTGGCTCTTGAACTCCTTCATGATCTCCAGGAAGCCGTTGTAGGTGGCGGGGTCGCTGCCGAAGCGGATCTTCACCTGGTCCAGGTAGGTGAGCGCGTCCTCCACCTGAGGGGAGCGGGCGCGCCGGTGGGCCGGGGTGGAGCAGGTAGGGTGGGGCCCCGGAGGGAGCGCAGGGGGCGGGAGGGCGCGGGCGAGCCGCGGGCGCCCCGGGGTCGGGGGT